CCCCAAAACCCCAAAACCCCAAAACCCCAAAACCCCAAAACCCCAAAACCCCAAAACCCCATAAAGAAATTATAATATAGATTTATTATTATTAATAAATATGCCTCACTCATTCGGTTACAGAGCTAGGACCAGACACATGCATGCCAGACCAAACAGAAAGCATGGTCTGCAAACTCCTTCTAAGGCACTTACTATTTTCAAAATGGGAGACCTCGTCGACATCGTCACTGATGGTGCTGTCCACAAAGGTATGCCATACAAGTGCTATCACGGTAAGACCGGAAAGGTCTTCTCCGTCTGCCCAAGAGGTATCGGAGTTGCCGTTAGCAAGAGAGTCAGAACTAGAATTTTAACTAAAAAACTCTACGTCAGACATGAGCACTTGAGAAAATCTAAATGCAGAGATGCTTTCTTGAGAAGAATTAAGAGAGACTTGAAAAAGAAACAAGAAGCTAAGAAGGAAGGAAAGATCATTAGTACTAAGAGAGTCCCACCTCAACCAAGAAAGGCACATGTTGTAAAGGAGGAGAATATTGAATACTTGGCTCCACTTAGATTTAGAGATATCTTCTAATTCTTTGCTAATATTAATTACAAAATTATCGAAAGATATTGCAATTCAGATTGCTTTAGTAAATATTATACCATAATTTATCTCAAAGGGAAGTCTAATGATGCTACTATTTCCCGCAACACTGGATTAATACATTCCATCAACTTTGTCCTTTGTAAAGTGTTGCTTAATAGACGACGATAACTTAGTAGATTCCTCCCTTTTACTGTCTTTTTATGACAATACAATATTTTTAGATGTCAAAATTTAGGGTAATACTGCTCTAAAGATGTTCCAGATATTGCTTAGACATGAAAGCTAAGAGAACGGGCGTCTCAAATCCATTTTAGATCAGATAGTTTCGCTAGAAGTCTATTTAGTCTCATACTTTTAGTGATTTCCAGTTAGCCATAACTCCTCATTAGCTTTAAAATAAACTTCATGAGTTCAGTTCTCTCTTGCTTTTGGACTTTCTTTGTAAATTTGATCAAGCTGTTGTAAACGAAGGGTTACTTTCTCATTTTCAGGTTGAGCTCCAAACCTGGGCCAATAAAGTGCATATTAATTATTGCTTTAATCTCTGTTATGGTCTGGGTATCCATCAACGAGATTCACTCTATATTCAATTATTTTATCGTGTTCGGGGTTTTGGGGTTTTGGGGTTTTGGGGTTTTGGGGTTTTGGGG